AGAGAGAGAGAGAGCGTTGTGACCGATGAAAAAAAGGGGCAAAATAAAAACGCACAAATTTTTTTGACCGCATCTGCCCATGTTCTAGCGGGAAGTTCATTCTCATTTTATACATTCCGAGAGTTGGGGGGGGGGATGCACAGTGTCAGACGCACTCAGCGTCAGGCTCTCTGACGCCCTCTCTCTCTCTCTCTCTGTGTGAACCTCCCACGAGAATGAATCTTCCTCTTTATCGAGGAAGATTCACTCTCGTTTGGCATGTATGATTTCCTTTTTTTTTGCAGAATGTTGTATGTTTTTTTGTGTTTTTTTCTTTTTTTTTTTCTTTTATTGTGATGTACTACCGGCTGTCCGAGGCTCGGCGGAACGATCGGGCTGTCGGAGCGGCGAGGGCACCTGTCGTCAGCAAGAAATTTTTGTCGGCTGGTCCATTGGAGTTCCTCCGGGCAGCGGACATCTTGGGTCTTCAACATTCAGCTTCCAAGAACCTTACGCCAAAGGTAACCGTTGGTGGCCGGCCGGCCCCCCGCGGGCGTCGTCGACCAGTGTTCTCCCTCGCAGTGCGTGCCGCCAAACGGAAAGGGGTCGAATGGTCGGCAAATTTGAATATTTTAGGTGACCCAAGTTTCTATTCCCAGATGCGCTCCACGATGCAAAACATTAGGACAGTGTTTGTGGGATTCGGAAGTCTGCTGTTTGCTGCCCTCTTTTCGTCACCGTTTGCTGGAGGCGTACCGGCGTGGTGTAGTTACTGGAAAGGGTATTCCATACCACAATGCAAGGATAGGGTACAGAATACCCTTTCCATCTCTCTCTCTCGCTAATGCTTACGGGACACGGGCTGCGTACGTGGAGGCCGCTGGGGGGTTCCGACCGTACGATGTGTGATCTGCGGCCATCGTCTTGCGTCCAACTTTCCACAATGTCTAAATGTCAGCACGTATGTGATTTGCCGCGATCGCGGCCAGCCCTTGGATGAAAGATTGTGAGACGCCCGATGTGAAATCTGACACGCCTGTTACGGCACGGAAATGTGTTTGGGGAAAAAAAACAAAACAAAACGCGAGTGGCCCGTTTTCAATGCATGTGGTCCAGATACGGGGCCCCGGGTGTATGAGCCGTGTTATGTAGTGGAGCGATGCCCTTTCTCGAGTCAGGAGTTCTTTTTTACTTTAACAAAAGACTCAGCTCATTTGATTACGCACACCAAGGAGAGGCCGGGAATCCTCTACAAACAACCCGGAAGATAATAGAAAAGGCAAAATTCAGGTGTCAGGGTTCGGGGTCTCTTTCCGGTTGAAAGCAAAAAAAAAAAAAAAAAAAAAAAAAAAAAAAAA